TCATTTCGTTGCAGATTTTGCTCACTTGATCTCACGCACAGATGGTTTCGAGGCAAAGACAATAAATGAAATAAGAAGTGGACCTGAAATTATGGAAATACTTCACCAATGTGGCGTTTGCAATTAGCCAAGATTCTGCAAGGTGACTCAACTCGAATGAAGACTTACCCCATGATGTGAGCGTTTCAGTGAAAAGATTGTTCATGTTGACCTTTCAACTCATAAATGAATGAATAGATGAGGATGTAGGAAATTGATTTAAGTGAGAAAGGCATTCATTTGGCACACTGGACAAAATTCAAATTCATGAAGTACACTCAGTTAAGAGTGAAGAAGTCTAAATTTCTCATCTGAAGTCACCATAAATTAAAGCGAGATGTGAGGAAAGGTGTTTCTACTATCATCTACTACCATCTGTTGAACCTGGAGATTAGTGCTGGTAAATGCTCGTTCCACTTAATATCAAGTCCTTCCCATTTAGAGATAAAATATACCTCAGTCATCTTCCAGTCCTCCATTTGTGTCTGTGGTTCTCTACACTTATTAGACCAAAATGCACTGGCCAATACATTCACGTGCCACCGATTCCACCCTCCCACCAAGGACTCGACACCCTTCAGCCACATGTAGAATAATGATGGAGTGATGTGAACTTTCAGAACTTATTAGACTTAAGTACGCCAAATTAGTCTCACCTCAGAAATTGAGTAGTAATGGTAGAAAGTATGCAAGTGATGAGAGCGATTGACAAAATTCGTTTGAATTTGAGTGAGTTTAGATCTGAGGCGAAGTCGCACTTGATGAGTAAAACTGAAAATTTTCAGTTTAAAAGTTGCGTTCTTCTGGACAACATGCCGAGTCGGGCTAAGCGATTTGTAGGTAGATGGAAAATTGAGCAACAATGAGACTAATAGACAAAAAATAATTTAAAATTGCAAAAAAATTGTTGACTGCAATCAAAATGAAGTGTTGCACATTGGGAAAGAGCAAACGAATAGGTTCAGTAAAGAAATCAATAATTGTGAATGTGCGTGTTGTGAGTGAGGAGGTGGAGGAGGAAGTGGCATAGTATTTATACAGACTGCTATCTTGCATTTGTT